GCAATGTGTTGCGAAACACATGACATGTTACGAAAAAGGCTCATTTTCTAAAACGACAAGAAATCATGTTCCCAAACGTGAATCCTCTAGAACTAACATAAATGATGTTCCCAAAATTTGTTCCTTTCAGACCTCTGGGATCTGCGAACTTCGTGGAAGCCACGGGCCGGGGTTTTGCAGCGGCGGCTCCCGGAGGCCCAACGCTGCCGGATTACTGCGGCCCCGCCGTGACCAAAGACAGCGATTCCAGCTACATCGGGGCCGCGCAGCACTCCGACAACGTCGGAGAGCTCAGCGCCCTATTCTTCGGCCTCTCGCGGTTGCGGGGCCACTTGAGCACGGCCGCGCGGCAGCGGGCCAATGCCATCTTCGAGCGCGACTCGGAGTGCGCGGCTGGTGTCATTCAGTGGCGGGCCCGGGCGCGGCATAATCTCGAGTTCGCGATGAGAGCCCGCTACATCTACGACCAGATCTCCTTTGTCATCGAATGGCGCAAAGTGGAATCCCACACGGGCCTGTTCTTGAACGAGAGGGCGGACTATCTCGCAAATTGCGGTGCGAGTGGCATGCGCCGCGGGCTGTTGGATACGACCCGGTAGGCCCACAACTTTTCAAGCTGATCTTTCTTCAGCCAGAGCAGGCAGCCCCAGACCTGTCCCATTATAGTATGTGTGATATTGTGACGCATGGTTATTTGGGTGGTTCCCGGCGTTTCCAGTGCTATCTGACATGGGCCCTATTCGCAGCTAGCAGCTCAAACGTTTGTAGCACCGTCATCGCCGCCTGCTTCTCCTCCTCCATCTTCGCCATCAAGTGACTTCGAGGGGGCAGCCAGCTCGCCCCGGCCTTGTGTACCGCTCGCCACGTTATCTCTACATGTTGGGGTACGGTGGTAAGGGCATGCTGGTCGTCTGACCTGTAGTGTCAGAGGTGCTGTTTGTGGCCCTGGTGTTCAACATTGCTGGGCTTGTTCGTCGAGCGACTATCGCCATTTGTGGTCAGGCAGCCCCTGATATTTGTCAGCTTACGGGTTTGCAAACGCGCGTAGCACAAAGGTTGCCATCCGCCTCTTCGACGCGTTCGAGGGTTTCCCGGCGTGGCCCAAGAGGAGCTCGAAGGTTCAGCGTGTGTTGGAGCACCCGGCAGAGGTTAAACAGCAACGTCCGAGCCTACCGCAACCTCGAGGTCATGCAGGCGAAAATCCCCGACGCTTGACCGGCTTTGCTTTCGAAGTGTAGCCAAGTGCCTTTCCTCAAGCCCACGTGCAAGATGACGCGCAACAGGAATAAGATCTGCGGCCTTGGCGGTGCTCCGCGGCTCTGAGAGGTGCGCAGCGGAGGTAGGATTACAACAGCGCGACCCGGGTCTGGCCCGAATGTGGAGATTGTGGTGGCGGGGGCAAGGCGAATGTTACAAGGGTGTGGGGGCGGGGGGCAAGAGCAGGCGTTTCCGTCGAAATTGGCGCCAGCACGCCTGCCTTGAGCGAGCAGCACCATGACCCGCTGGCATCCCCAATATCAAGGGCGAGTTTTCGACTGACGCCGTCCACGTTGTCTCTCGTGCCTCAGTTTCTACCCTCATCGTCCTCTCCTTCTCCGTGGGCCGCTGTGCGAGTTTGCCGCGCGCGAGCCTGCACCTGCATGTACAAATTGCTGCTCATGTTTTTGAGCCTGCCGTCCCCAGGGATGTGGACAGCCACGCTCCCCTCGTCCCGAGTCGACGGGACTGCGGCTCCGACTCTGGTCGGGTATAGCTAGGACCCCGGGTAAGGGGACCCGGTTAGTGGTAGGGCTTTGGGGCCCCTCAATTGGCCAGATTCAGTAGCCCAGGTTTGCAGTAAATGGTGATTTTCGGGTGACGCCAGTTCCGGTTAGCGGAACGGGGCGGGGGGGGGCGCCCCCCGGTACACATCACTAAACCAGGTCCCATTCAACCCAGTTCTGCCAACGCCCGACTCTGGATTGTCGGACGAGAACTGGGGGATAGGCAGTTGGCCATGGGGCACCCTGCCTGCTTGGGCAATGGCTCTGTGGCCTCGTGCCTGCCCTCCGTGGCGCTGTTTTTTTTCTTTTTTGGTCCTGCTCTGCTCGTCCTCTGCCCGAGCATTTTCTTCGGGTGGAGGGCAAAGGGTGAAATCTGAAATGCAGTTTTGATGGATTTCCGGGGGAATCTGCAAAAGGCGGATCACAAGACGGATGGGTTTTCGAGGTGCAAGAGAAGATGTGGATTTCACCCTGAGCCTTCCACCCTAAGAGAATGCTTCGTCTGCTGGGCACGCGGAGTGGGCTCCGAGTGCCCTGCATATGTTCCCGCTGCGTTATATATATATATATATATATATATATATATATATGTATATATATGTTCAAAAGAAACAAATGCTCCGCGTGCGGATCATGCGATGCAAATGCAGGGGTTCAGTACAAAACGCGATCAGCACATGCATACGTTTACTCATACATTAATCCTGTATGAAACATCGTACATGTTTAACACTCCCGTGCATTAAACACTGCCCTGTAGTTAGAAGCTCCGAGGGGGGAACGATGCACGTAGGCACTCCGAGGATCCGCTCCTCGCGCCCTCTTCTCTCGAGCCCGGCCCCCCGCCCCTGCCGAAACGCCTCGGCCTCGAGGTGTGCCCGCGGCCGCGGCCCGAGGACCTGCGACCCCCCGCGCGCCTGCGGGTCCTTCTCCGCCCGCTACACCTTAGGCGATGCTTAAGAAAACTTAAATTTTCGGCCAGCGTCTCGATTATTCTTAATGTTTCAATGTAAATCCTAAGATTTGAATGGGAACTTTAGGTTTTTATTCAAGTTCTGAGACTATGAATTTCTTAACCCATGATTTCTTAAGCATTTCGCAGGGTGTATGACCAGGGCCCGGTTCGCCTCCGGGGATTCCCGGCCTTCTTTCGACTTCTGGGGAGCCCGGCCTCGACCTCCGCCCGCCCGGAGCGCGGTCTCTCCCCCCTTCTGGCGTGCGGGCGCAGCGCCGCTGTGGCGGCCGCAGCAAGGCACGCCTCGGCGTGCGGGGGCGCGAGGGGTGCGCCTCGAAGCTTCACGCCTCAGGAGGAGGAGGAGGGAGGAGGAGGAGGAGGGAGGAGGAGGAGGAGGGAGGAGGAGGAGAAGGAGGGCGGAGGAGGGAGGAGGAAAAGGGAGGAGGAGGAGGAGGAGGAGGAGTGCGGTTCGGGTCTTCCCCCCGGTTTCAAGCAGTGGCGAAGCGTCCTGGCTCGCCTACTGGCCCTACCAAGCAGTGTTCTAAGAACCGGTTGTGGTTTCCACGACATGTTTTTGGAACGTTTCTGGCGGAGTCTCTTTTGGTTTGCCACATCGGGTTTGTGTTCTAGGAACATTGTTTCGTTCTTAGAACATTTTGGGGTTCTAAGAACACTTCCTAGTATGACTATAGGAATGCCGGGACGGTCGGCCCCTGCTCAATTTGTTCGCCGCGGCGAAGGGTTCGTTGAAAGGCGGGCAAACGGAGGCCTCCGCGAGCCTGGAGCGTGGACAGCGAGGCAGCGAGAGTGCGCATAGCCATTCACTTGTTCAACGGTTTCGTCGAATCCTGCAGTCGGTTTCACCCCGCGTCGGCTTCTTTATGAGCCTAAAACAGGTCCCTATCGCAAAGAGTGGCATCTCCTTCTCCTTGTGCAGATCTCGACGGGCCCCCCTGCTTCTGTAGGCCAATCCTTGAGTTTGTCATCGCTTTTGGCTTGCCCATTTTTTAGAGATAGGGATCAGTTCGAGTCTTGTTCGCATCACCAGAATCTCTGCATGAAGCTTTGTGAGGTGGGCTTGAGGGCCAGCCGCTTGCCAGGCTCAGGCCTCGTCAACTTTCGTATAATTCGAGAGTAGAGCTCTTCTCCATCACAGCGCGCACTCATTGTTCGCGCTATCTGTTTCACGCCGTAGCCGTCGAGACCGAGGCGTCTTACCAAAACGTAAACAAAAAATTATGGGCTTCGTCCTGAGTTTCATCTGGGCGAATTCGGTTTTTGGCCCACCACGTAGTTTTGAACCTTTCTTACGCAGTGTTTCCAGAAGTTGCCTCCTAACCACCGGGCCCCCCTCCACTGACGCCGACATGGACGGCGGACTTCGACGACCTCAGCAGCCTTTTGTTCGCTCAATCGTACTAGGAAAGGCTAGCCTTGGGGCAAGGTTAGCGTGGGAGCAAGATTGCGACAGGGCAATCGTGTGGCGACAATGTAATACGGGCATTGGCAACATGCCCAGCCGATTTGCCACATGCTCCATGCCTAGTTGATGCACGCGCACGTGTATTCAACAAGGCCTTGTCTTGCATTGCGCGGGCACACGCAGGAACCGCGTTCTGTGCACATGCGTGGTAATGCGGAATCGGCGCATCTGTGTACAGCTCAAGTATTGTGACAGGGGGGCTAGAGTTGTTGAGCAGTCCATGCGGGATGAAACTCAGGAGGTTGAGGGAATCAATCAATGAACCCTGCATTCCGTCGTGTATGTTGTGCAGACGGTGTATTGAAACATCATGCCCACGATAACATCCAATTTCATCAGTTGCGCATTGTGAATTCGGGCAATCACAATGTGGCCTCCAATGTCGCATTTTAGAGGCTGCTATTTTCTGATGCGATCCCTTTGAAATCCACCACGCGCGCTCGCTGACACTGAATTATCGTGGCTTCACCCTGTCCACGTAAGACCTGCTGCTCTGGAAAGATACAACGACTCCACTTTGAATGTGTGCCCGGGGGGGGGAGTCACAAGGTCTGGAACATCGGGGGCGGAAAAGAGGGGGTTGATGACTAGGGGGGGTGGATATCATGGCGTGGGCCATGATATCTCCCCAGATTTCGCCGCGCCTCTTCTTATTCCGTTACGTCCCTGGCCCCCCCGCTGGGCCGCGCACATGCCGCCGGTTGTGATTTGATGATTTGCATTCCCCCCCTCTTGGACACCCCCCTCTTGGCCGCTCCCGAGAGAGGTGGGCGCGGCGTGGGTGGAAGTTGCTTGGGAGGCCGAGCTCATGAGCGCCAGCGACACGCTCAGCAGGGCGATACGCGTCCTGGAGAGGGAGACGGCCGCCGCCCTGCCCTCTGCAGGGCCGAGGCTCCGAAGGATCGGCGCCCTCGGTCTGGGGATGTTTCTGGACCCTCTCGGGGCGCTCTCGTCGCCAGGGCTGGATCCGCCGCGGAGATCTGGCCAGAGCGCGCCCCATGACGGGTCATGGATGGTTGGCTTGACCTCTGAAAGGGCGCGTTTTTTTTGTAATTCATTCTCGTTTATATCTATATATACACACACATATATTTATATTATTATTTTTGTGTTATATATATTTATATAATATAAAAAACTGCGGCTCAGCCCGCCCTCGGGCTTTGGGTCTCGGGGCGGCCAGGCGTGGGTCCAGGACGAGGGGCTGCCCCTGCTGAAAGGGTCGGCACAGCAGCTGACACATGATGGGCATGTTTTCCACCCCCACCGCCATAAGTTGGAGGGGGAGGGTGTCCTCCTCCTCCTCCTCCTCCGCCTCCTCCTCCTTCCCCCCTCCAACTTATGGTGGCGGTGGTGGAAAATCGACCCATCAATAAACGATACATTGGATGCCTTGGTCTGACGAACAAAGAAAAACACAACACACACACGCACACACTCACCCACACCCATGCCCACAAGGGAGACAGAGGGGGCCATGGGTGCGTGTCGTCGGATGGGGGCCCCCGCTCGACCGGGAGCCTCCCCCCGGGGTCCGACCTCCTCGCACCCATGCCCCATGCCAGTCCTCCTCCCTCCGACCCTGCTGTGGGTACTCCAGATCTCGTAATGAAAGGAGGGGGGTCCCATTTCGGGGGGGGGGTCTCTTCCAAGCTATCTTGGAGGGCCTGGGGGGTTCTGGGGACGATGTTTTGGAGGGTTCTCCCACGGGGGGGGGGGTCTGAAATGGCTTGTCTTGGAGGATCCAGACCCCATCCCTTTTATTACGAGATCTGGAGTACGTATGGGTGTGTGTGTGTGTTGCAGAGGCAACCCATGCCAGGAAACACGCTGCTTGCCCCGGGCTTCTTGGCTTGGATGGTTTTGCGATGGAAGGCGTGACGTTCCCGCGCCAGGAATCAATGGACGTCCTGGGGTGTCAGGGTTGGGTTTCTTGTGGAAGGTCTCTTGTGGGCGAGATCCTGCTCTGTGGGTGTATGGGTGTGTGTGTGTTGCTCGTTCGTCGCAGTCTCTGTCTCGTCCTGCCCCGCCTCCTGGGCAGGAACGGGGCCCTGCACTGCACGACAGGGGTTCGAGGTCTTCCGCCGCGCTCTGACCCCCAGGGCCCTCCGCGTGCCCTCCCCGTCCGCTCCGTGTCGTGGGCAGCGCGCGTGACAGAGGCCATCCCGGCGGCGGGCCCGGCCTTGTGCAGCCGCGTGTGGCGCGCGGCGTGGCCTTCTCCTCGCTTGCTGTGCGCCAGCCCGGGGATGGAGTCCAGGGTGAAGTCGGGCGTGCCACTCTGCAGGAGAAGTGTTCAAAAATAGTCAAGAAATGGTAGGGGACGATGTTTTAGAAGGTGCTTGATCATTATTGATTATGTTTTAGACTGTGTTGGTTTTCGTTCAATCTCTGCCTGTACAGTCAAAAACCTTAATAAGGACGCGCGACTTTGCTCAGGGTGCCCTGGCGTCCTTGCTCTTCCTTGCTCTTGCGCCCCTGAGGTTTTCGTCGTCCGCCGCCCCAAGAATCCCAACTTCGGCGTCCAAGGGTCTTGCGTCCTTACTAAGGGCTCCCTCGAGGGCGCGAAGTTATTCGCGCTTCGCGGTCCTCGTTCCTTCTCCCCCTCCTCCTCGTCCTCCTATTCTCCCTTTGGGAGGGCGGCGCGAGAGCGCGAAGTTATTCGCGCTTCGCGCTTCGCGCAGCGCGAAGCGCGAAGTTGGGAGCCCTAGCTTACCGCGCGTCCTCATTTGGGTTTTTGACTGGAGGAGGACCTGCCCGACCTGGGCCGGGGGATGGCGTCCAGGGCGATGGTGGCCGGGGGCAGCCGCGGAGCAGGCGCGCGGGTTGGGCGCCGAGAGCTGCCTCTGGGGCGCGCGATCCTGCGAGGGGCGAGGCGCTGTCGGAGTTCTGCGCGCGAGCGCGACTTCGAATTCCTCGGGATTTCGGGATTTCGGACTCCCGAAATCCCGAGGAGGTCGAATCGATTTCCCGAGGAGATCCCGAAACTCCTCGGGACTTCCTCGGGACTTCCTCGGACTTCCTCGGACTTCCTCGGGATTTGCGACAGGCGGACGCTGTCGGAGTTCTGCGCGCGAGCGCGCGCGAGGGGGCGTGGGCCGCGGGCCCGCATGCATCGGCTGCACCTAAGAGTGGCCCTTCGCCGGAGTGACCTCTGGTGCGGGCCCACGGGGGTCCACCGATCGCCGAGCGCAGCGCGAGAGCAGCGTCTTGCGCGCTTGTGTGTTGGGCCCCCAGCGGCTCCCTCAAAGCCGCGCACCAAAGGTCACTCTTGCCCAGGGTCACTCCTGCGTGTAGTCGAATGCAGACGCGCCCGCTGTGGCCGTGGAGGGAGCGCCCTGGGGGGCGTGGTCAGCGCGAAGATGCCCCGAACGTGGCGGCGGTACACGTTCAAGCTCGGGTTTCACGAGGGTGAAGCAGGGTCAAGCTCCCCGCTGCCCCCCCGGTAGAGACTAGGTTCAGCATTCAGAGCTGCGATCAGTAACCGACCTGGCTGAAGGGAGATCCGTCTTTCTCTCCTGCCCCCACAGTTGGTGGCGGAACGTGATCCGCTGGGAAGCTATGGGCGCTCGCCGCTGCCGGTGACAGGCGGCGGCTAGGTGCTTGCGAACCCCCGGCGATCGCGTTCGCGCTCTTCGCCGGTAGCGTGAGTTCCACGGCAGACATGCCCGCAGACGCGGCATCAGGGACGGCTGCAGATCTAAGCATGACGGCCGTGAGGACGGCCGAGGGAGGAGGAGCTCATCTGGCTCCGGAAGCGCAGCCGCTTCCCCTCCCCAAGGACCAGTACTCGGGACTGCCGCCGACGAGCTGAGAGACATGATCCAGGGGATGGTGTCCAAGACCATCTCGTCCTCTTCTCCTCCAAGAACGCCAGCACCACAAGGCGATCGGGGGAAGACCGCGCGGGGACCTGACCCGTGGTCCGTGTCTGGTCGCGACCCTTGGGCACAACCAGGTGGCCACCCTGACTCCGAGGAGCCCCCGCGGGCGGCAGGTAGCAGAAGACAGCGGCTGGTCCAGAGACGGCTGGGGTCCCAAGGGCGATGACTCTTGGGGTGCGGGGGGCGGCGGTTGGACGCGCGCCCCGTGGGCACAGGATGCCCGTGGCAACAGCGGAGGCTGTTGAACAGCAGGGCGAGGGGATCTTAGCGATCTTGCCGCGTGGCCTAGCCTGGCCCACTTCAGGTTGTGGAAGAAGTCCATCCGCGGACGTCCAGGTGTGGCGTTGGACGGCTTGCGCCGCACGGGGCGGAAGGCATTCTTCGAGGCCACGGGAGAGACCAAGGAGAGCCTCACGCAGCTTGTCGCCTGTAGCGAAGCACAACTTCTCGAAACCGACGGGCAGGGTCTTTAGATGGTGGAGGCGCTCAGAGGCCTTTTACTCGAAGAGGACGCGGGCGCGACCGCGCAGGCGCCTGAACTTTTCAAACGCGTCTTGGGCGCTGCGCCAGGTGGACGCGGGCGTCGCGCAGCGCCTGCTTCCAGGGCGGGCCGTCCAGGAGCGATAATGGCTTTCTCTCCTGATGACTTCGGTCCGGCAAGCCTGTCCAACCGCGCTGTTGTTCAGTCCTTTCCATTCTCTCTTCCCCCTGGTATGTCGGAAGGTGGTCAGTCTGTGTCTAGTGTCCATGAAGACGGCGACCTCTGGGAGGATGACGACGATGCCGCATATGAGGAGGACCCAGACGACTGGCAGGCCTCTGTCTGGAGATAGGCGACATGTGCCTCGATGAGGACCAGGTGGAGGAGGCGCTCGAGATGGTAGAGGGCCGAACCGACGCCTGGACGTGGAAGCAGAGTAAGGACTTCAATCGGGCGGCGAAGAAGGATCGCGAGCATGCCAAGGCGAAGGCTGGCGGCTCGGCCAGCCCACCACCGCCGAGGCCCTTCCGGGGCAGAGGAGCCCGTCGAGCCCGACTCCGGCGCCGACTCACCACGGAGCAGCTGATGAAGGTCACGAAGCGCCGGCTCTGCCTCGAGAAGGGCCACTGGGGGCGCCAATGCCCCAACTTCGGCGACCAGGCGAAGGGCGAGGGCGGGCTGGGGATTCGGGCCCAAGCCCAGGAGCGCAAGCGACGGTCTGCCTACATGTTTGACAGACGCGCTCCCTTCTTGGCAACGTTCAGCGGGGGCCGCTGGTGCGGGTCCATGTTCATATCGGCCAAAGCCGCTCGTGGCTGGCGGGCCCAGCCGCTGGCAGTGACCTCGCAGGGGGCTCGCGCCCTGAACCGGGAAGCAGCATCCGCGGCGCAGATCGGTCGCGCGCGCGTGGAGATCCCCGAAGCAGCGAGACCCCAGAAGTCCGCCCATGGAGTGGGCGGAGCTGCCAACGTGGCCATTGCGATCATTTTCCCTTTGCACGTTGGCGGCGTCTTGGGGATCCTTGAGCCTAAAGTGCCGCGGGGGCATGTGCCGCGCATTCTGTCGGTCAATATTCTAGACTTCCTGGGGCCCGCCATCGATTTCCCCTGGAGGGGGATGCGCCCCGGCGCCCCGACACCCCAGAGCTGAGTTTGCTCCTTGCGCGCCCCCCCCTTCTGGCCGCCGCATGGAAGAGATTGCGCGGCCGCTCTCGGGCGAGCGCCATGTTCTGAGCGCGGCGCTTCGGCGCCGCCCTTTTCTCGAGGCTGGCTCTTTTGCGCACGATGGCGAGCCCCCACCCCTCGTGAGAGAGGGTCGATCGGCGCCCCTGTACGGCTACATGGCGTTTCTTTGTGTTTCCTATCTTCTGCCGGGATCCTGAGGACTCACATGGGATTGAGTCGGGCCCATCGGGCCCGCAAAATGGCCACTTGCGCCAGGGCGCTCGGTGCCCGCCTGGAAGTCACCAGCGCGCCCCTCTCAAGGGGCCCAGGTGGCTTCTTCGTCGGGAATCTACGCGCCAGGGCTCCACGACCTCTTCGGGGCCTCAAGGGCGCGGGCCCCGGGGGGGAGCGGCCTCTTCGGGCCCCGGCCGCAGATTGCGGCTTCAGAGCGGGCGACGGCCTCAGGATGCGTCAGCTCAGCTGAGGTGCCCCCCTGCAGAGGGTTGACTTGCGCATTGAATTCGCCTTTTTGTATTTGCGGGGTGGATGATGGCATCTGCCTGCGCACGTGGCTACTCGTTTGGAATGAGCCCCTCATTTCCTGGGGCCGCCCGCTTGGTGGATACACCTTAGAGGCATGAACAGCCGAGATCCGTTGCCATGGGCGCGCGGTCGGGGTCGCTAGTCCCGAAGAGTGGTTTGGCCGCGACGTCCAGCGCAGGGCGGCCGCGGGCGTTTTGTTTTGGCCGAGTCGGGCGTGGAAACCATGCTCGCGCGGGGCTGTTCGCGGTCGGTGGCCTCAGCCTGGCCGCGCACGTCGTCGTGCGAGGCGGTTGCCGCTGGCCTGCTGGCGCAGGGCGTCGTCGACGATCCCAGCCCTGAGAATTAGGCACCGAGGTGCCCCGCTCCTGTGCCGCTCCCCCATTTTCTTTCACTGGCATTTGGCCAGGAGCGGCCTCGGGATCGCGGTGCTTGGTCAAGGAAAAAATGAGCAGGCAAGAGAACGTGAGCCAACTCGGAGGCGCGAAGACGAAGCAAAGTTCGACTTCCCGCTGCCCTTTTCTCGTGTCTCTGCCGCGCGCGCACGCTGCTTGTTGCCACGTTTGGGCTCAAGGGTTGGGCCGTTTGTCCCGCCCACCACCCCTTGTATGTACCTGTTCCTGTCCTTGCTTTGCGGCGCCGCTGCGTCCGCCGCTGCGTCGGGCGGGAAGCGGCCTCGGGACGCTGGTGCTTGGCCAGTCCAAAATAGAGCCCGAAAGGGAACGTGAGCTAACACAACTATCGGGGCATTTGGAGGAGCTCCCTTCGGGGCAAGATTCGCATGTGGAGTGCGCCGACATGGGCGCGGCAGCGCCATGCGAGTTCAGTGAGCGGGGCGGACTTCCGTTTAGGGCACGCTCCGTTTGCGGAGTGTGCCGACATGGGCGCGGCGGCGCAATGCGAGTTCTCTGCAACGGGGACAATCGGCGGAACTTTTCCCGCAACGATCCGCGCGAAAGATGCGCCCGAATGGGCGCCGCATTGCCATGCGAGCTCTGGGCCCATGATTGTCGCTCCCATGGTTTTCGATCCGCGTGAAAAGTGTGCCGACATGGGCAAGACTGCGCCGTGCCAGGTCCCCCGCTGGGGCCACAAGCGCAGCTACCAAGGGGCACGATCCATGTGAGGGGTGCGTCGAGATGGGCGCGGCGGCACCAGCGAATTCCTTCATTGGCGCAACACGTCGAATTTCGTATGGGGCCCGACCAGCGTGTGGGATGGGCAGCGCCAACAGCAGGGGCTGGCAGGGACAGGAGCAGCAGCGACAGGAGCAACGGCGGATGGGCAACGACATGCAGCAAGGCAGCAGCAGCAGCAGCAACAGCAGCAGCAGCAGCAGCAGCAGCGGCTTGGGGAAGCGGGGGTCGGCGGCGTGCCCAGGGGTGAACGCGGAAGGGGCGGGCCTTTTCAGAAGGCTCGGAAGGCCTCGGGCTTTCTGAGTGACTTGTCGGAAGGCGCGAGGGCTTCTGAGAAGTTCGGCCGCCTTGGATAACCCCGCCGCCCCGTCGCCGAGGGGAGCGGGAGGCAGGGGAGGGCGGGGCACGCGGCGACAGCGGAGAGGAAATTGTGACCCAACAACACGGGAGGGCCAGGTTGATTAAAGCCAAGATCTCCTGAGGCCCTCGAAGGCTCCTTGGGCGAGGTTCCCCTGGAGCCAAACAGTGGACAAACTGCGCAGGCCTTCTATCGGACGTCCGCGCGGATTGCTTGGATCGGCGGCACCGGTCCAGGAAATCGGCGCGGCCTCCCTGGATTGGTCCGCGCGGATTTGTCGGGCCAGAGCCCAACGCCGACTCGGCGCTGGGCCTCCCTGGCGGCGCATCCGGCGCCGTTGCAAGAGGCAGGATCCGCGCGCCAAGGAGGGGGGATGCAGCGCCCATCCAAGAGACCCTCGCGGGCCTCCGAACAATAGTGTCAACATGATGTCCGCCACAAACAAGTACTCCAGATTTCGTAATAAAAGGGAGGGGGTCTCAACCCTCCCAGACGAGAAGTTTCAGACCCCCCCCCTGGGAGAACCCTCCAAAACATCGTCCCTAGACCCCCCCAGGCCCTCCAAAAAAGCCTGCAAGAGACCCCCCCGAAATGAGACCCCCCTCCCTTTATTACGAAATCTGGAGTACACAGGCACCCTCCCATGCATCGCTCTTGGGCCTCAGGGGGATGGTGGCGGTGTATACATCACCACTGGAAGCCAGCGACTTTCTACACCGCCGCCCTCCGAGAAGTTTCGAGTAGGGGATCGATTACATGATTGACCCAGCCCAAGAATTTATTTGTTCGTGGAATATACGTAGCACCCCGCAGATGCGGATAAGAGTGAGGGGGCGGTGAGGACGTCGGCAGTTTACGAGACTTTGGAGAAGCCCGCCGCAGGCGCCAAAGTCTCACAAATTATAGAACGCGCCCGCCGCAGGCGCCGATTTCTTCGTTATACCATCGCGGACACCAGCAGCAACAACAACAACAACAACAGCAACAGCAACAACAACAACGACGCAACAAACATAATTCTCACCACACATGTCTTATTCAGCCACGCGCCCAGGGACAATGAATGACCGTTCGGCCCCCTCACTCTGACGAAGCATGAACACGATGCGTGTAGATCTACGAACAGTCTACGTCTTCTCTGCACAATCGGCAAGAACATCAATCTTGGTGGAAATCAGTGGAGTCGTCGATCTTTTGCTCGACAGGTGCATGCAAAGTTCTTCGGGGGCGCATGCGCAGCTGGCTCGCCTGCTCCTGCGGAGGCCTCCAGCCGCCTAGGGAGGGCCCCAGGGCGTCCGCGGAGCTGTGCCGCTCCTCCTCCTCCTCCTCCTCCTCCTCCTCCTCCTTCTCCTCCTCCTCCTCCTCCTCCTCCTCCTCCTCCTCCTCCTCCCCTCCCTCCCGAGGAGATGGCGAAGCATCCCGCCGCCTTCGCGCAGGCGGCGGCGACCGCCAGGGTGAGCGGCCTGGCGTCGGCGCTGGGCGCGGTGCTGGAGACCCTCCCGCACCGGAGAAGAACAGGCTGCACAGACACAAGCGTTCGACCGTCCGCGCGGGCGTTTTGGATCGGCGCTGGACCCCCCTGGCGGCGCCTCTGGCGCTGCCCCCTGGCACGCTCCGCGCGCCAGGGATTGGATCCAGTGCAGATCCAAGAGATCCGCGCGGACCGTCGAAAGTTTGCGGTTGTGCAGCTTTTTGTGTTTCTCGATCCTCGTCCCCCGTGCAGTCGGACCGAGGCATGAGATCGAGGTCGGTCCGGGGATGGCACCCTGATGTTCTTCCTTGTCTGTTGGATGCTCTGTGCAAGGAGGAGGGAGGAGGAGGAGGAGGAGGAGGGAGGATGTTGGATGTTGGATCCAGGAGGAGGAGGGAGGAGGAGAAGGGAGGAGGAGAAG